TCCATCCCACTAGTAATAGGCCAGGTTTTTCGGCATTCTATATCAGATTTGGTCTGATCAGGAGTTATAATCGATTATGGCCCTATTCTGATCAATTTTCACATTCCGAGTTTTGCATTCATTTTTAACCTAAGAAGAAGAGACATCCCAAAAATTAAATAGAAAAATATACAGCCAATCTTCTCAACAGACCAGATAATCTATAAAGTAACGCCATTTTACGCCACCAAAGTTTTACTTCGAGTTTTGGGCTTCCGTGAAATTGAGACTGAAATGTGCGTACAATGTAGCGTGACTACTGCGATCATGTCAATCTTGCGTGCTTGCGTGATCGCGTGACTAATCTTGCAAAGCTCAACTTGTCGTACCAGACGCAAGGAGTCACGACGCAAGCGTTTCACCTCTCGGTGCAATTTGGGTTTTTTTTTTTTTGACCCTCGTGTAACAATGGGGGAAGGTCTCAAGCGAGCACTGGTAGCCTTTCAAAAGTACAGGTTGGTAAAGAGGATAATCGCGGCGATTGCCGGCGCTGTGGCAGGGATTGCTGGCTGCATCACATTTGCCAAAGTCTATCACAACTACAATGCTGCTGTGTGGGCAGGCTTGTCGGCAGCGTTTGCTATAGTGTTCCTGCGTTTGAATTTCTCCGTTCGTCGCGATTATGAAAGAGTCATTACAAGGGAAACGTTCAAAGCCTATTTGTTGATTGGTGTTCTGGGTACAGTTGCGGGATTCGTTGCACTGATCACTTATATTGTCCTGGGTGCAACACATCACGAAAAAGGTAATTAGGCTGTCTGATGCATGCCTTGTTGCAGAAAATCGCAAACCTTATCAACCGGCCAAAACATGTTATAATTCAAGGTAACTATGGTGCTTTTACATCAATAATTTTTCCCAATACTAATAAATTCCTGAAGCGTAACGAAGCCGTTTCCAGAATGTAAACAAAACGCCGCAGTTTAATTACACCGAGTGTTCAACAGGTTACGAAATCTTTAAACTAACCATTGTTTTATAGGGAGACTTGTAGTAGAGACGTTTTGAAACTGATTGCTGTCGATGTTTATTCAAATTCACCTTGCTTTGCTATCTTGAGCTTCTTGAATTTAATTAAGTAATGTTTGACATTGCCATCTTGCGATAAATATTACGGCATTATTGTAAATGCAAGATTCTCAGCTAACGTTTTTGAAAACGAATAAAAATTTACACGGCAAACAGAACGCCGCGAATCATTAATAACTTTCAGATCAGGAAAATTTTGAAAGACCTATGGCAGCGTAAGAAAGTAAAAAGATGGCATTAAGATGATAAGAGCGACAGGTAAAAATCTACGGTGCAGAAAATGGAAGGATTTCAGGCGGGTGTCTACCTGAATTCAAGTGAAATTTTAGGAGGGGGATTAAAAGGAAAAAAAAGGTTATGGAACACCACCAGACAGTTGAACGCCCCTGAAAGGGCACCCCAGGTTGGTGGACAACTGTTTGGTGTACGTCTACCAATTTTTAACTTCAAATTCTAATTTTAAAACAACACCAAATCTTCAAAATTTCCTATTTCCATACATTTTACTAATCCTTTGAGAAAAACTCTTCATCTCCAAATATACTCAAAAAGCACCAAAAAATTTACAAAACAGCCCAAAACATAGATATGTGGGATGAGCAGAGAGATTCTTGACTGCTTGTAACGTGAACGAGATATTTGCGTTAAAACCATAATACCCAGCCAAACTACGGCCTTCAGTGTAGACCCCCACCTTAATGAACTTTAGGTTACAGCTGATGTCGATTTAAGGTAACAACGGCCAAGGGAAGACAGCAGAAAGTACCAATTTTTCTTCGTTTTCAAATTTTCAAATATGAGCGTAGCTAAGAGACTTCAATAAGCTAGAAATGTTAAAATGATGATGATGATGATGACGATGAAGACGATGACGACGATGACGATGATGATGATGGTGGTGGTGGTGCTGGTG